TGTAGTGATTAGTTGATGTTCATGTTATTGTCCACTAGATGGCAATAGTAACAAACATAGGTAGCAGATACATAGGAGTAAAGAAGTGATAGAGAAGCCTAAGCTAAAACCGAGGTTGTGTGCTTAAGAAATAAAGAGGCTACACGCCAGTTCATACATTTATTTTTTCAGAGTGTTTATTCAACAAACACCACATGGTACCAGGAGTATACTGTCCTTTGATACAACAGAGATGGATGCTGTTAAACCACCGGAATCCTTGAAACTCACCGGGAACGTGGATATCAGTTGGCGGACATTTAAGCAGCAATTCACGCTTTATATGCAAGCTGTTGGTCTGGATGATAAATCAGATTCACGGAAAATAGCGTTGCTCCTGACAGTAGCTGGACCTCAAGCAATTGAAGTATACAATACTTTCACGTTCGTGGACGCAGCAGACAGAGGAAAATATGATGAGGTCATGAAGAAATTTGATGAGCACTGCTCACCCAAGAAAAATTAAACATACGAGAGGTATGTGTTTCGCTCACGCACTCAGTCACAAGGAGAAAGTTTTTACTCTTTTTTGACTGATTTGAAACTAAAGTCAAAAACGTGCAACTTTGGAATCTTGACTGAATCTATGATCAGAGATCAAATTGTCTTTGGAATTTATGACAAGAAAATAAGAGAAAGACTGCTCAGAGAAACGGAGTTAACATTAGATGGTGCTGTCAAGATTTGTCATGCGAGCGAACTTGCTTTGTTGCATTCTAGAACTTTCAGTGATAAAGAAGACGCCACTGTTGCTGACAGTCCAGTAGTCGGCGCTGTTACTCACAAAATGAAAAGGCGGAGTCAAAAAGCTACTCCAAGGATAAGCACAGATTCATTCAGCTGTAAAAGATGTGGTTCAAAGCATCGACCTAAACAATGCCCAGCGTTTGGAAAGCAATGTGCAAAATGCAAAGGCATGAACCATTTTGCTAAGCAATGTTTTTCAAAGAAACAAGCAAAGCAATCAACAAATGTGCATGTTGTGGAAGAGACCGAATTGTCAGACACTTTCTTTGTGGGCATGATCAACAGTGATGCAGAAACTGTCCAGCAGGAGTACGAAGTACGACTGTGTCTAAGGACAAATGGATTGTGTCGCTGCAAGTCAATGGAACGGTTGTGCCGCTTAAACTTGATACAGGAGCGAAAGCCAATCTCATAAGCACAAGTGACATAAAGGAAATGAAAATCAAGCCCCAGATAAAAAGAAATCCTGTGTCGCTCAAAACCTACAATGGACAGGACATAAAGACTCAAGGTGTGTGCAGACTCAAAGTATGTGTCAAAAACAAAACTCATCACCTGCTCTTTGTTATAGTCCCAGATGATCATCAGTCTCTCCTTGGTGACCATTCACATGTGTTTCATAAACACATAATCCTTTCTAGATTACAATTAGCCATCAAATTGATACATTTAATTATTCCAGCTGCTGTGAGAAACGGCTATAAATGATCGGCCACCTGCAGGATTCTCACATGCGATAGCCTAGTAGCCGGGACAACTTCTTTATGTTTACAGACGTGACGTAATGACGCAGCAGCATGCTCGAATTTCCCGCGAAAACTTACCACTCAAATTAGAAAACATTATTATAAGCTAACCATTGTGAATCGGGAGGCCACCTAGTGGATGTAGTGAATTCAAGAGACTCAAAAATATAAAATAATAAACATACTCTGTGGATTCAACATCTGACCAATCCTATAGGTGTATAATAAATAAATGTGTTATTATGATTATTATTGTTGTTGTTATTATTATATATTATATCTATTATTTTAAATAAAAATTTCAAGTTAAAATTAATTTTAGGGTACAGTACTACACCATATAGGAAATACACAATAATCAAATTGTGTATTAGGGTGTCTAAAGCTCAAAGTTCAACAGAAAATTTTACAGTTTACATTACCATAATAACATCTCAATAAAACGTAATAGAATACAGATACTACTTACCTGAGTTTAGAATATAAGGTAACTTTAAATGTATTTAATGAATTGTGCACATTGTTTTTTTTTTTTACCCGTTTTATTTTTATTTTGTGATTCAACATGAAAATGCCATACTTAATTAAAACAAAGGTCCCACAGTATTTCTTTGTCATAAAAATACTCAAACAATAGTAAGAGAGTACAAAAATATACAGCATTCAATCCTGATGATAAAGTTTGGTATTTTTCAAACGGATGCCTTATTCTTTCATTTCTTGTGAAATTGGGTTTGTGAAATATGTCATAGTTCCAGTCCATTTCTATATATGAAGCTTCCTATATTTTCTAGTTTATATGAATTTCCATTCTTATAAAACATTTCCTCATAGCCAATGCCAAAAAGATTTCAATGTCAACAACTTGACAAAACTTTAGTTTGATAAAGTAATTCCAAATCTTTTTGTCAGCCTCTTAAGTGACTTAAGTACTTTTCAATATTTTGTAACTAAAGAGTCATACTTGTGTGCAAAAAAAAAGGCTAAAAAAAGTGTTTTCTTATGAAATCCGATAAATTACATAATATGTAAATTAGGTAATGTCAGTTTGTAATGTCCTCATCCTCCTGTCTTTGTTTCTCCAGTTGGTCCAGATCTGGTATTTGTTAGTCCTGACTGTAGGGGGCGTCATCGTCACTGTGTTTCCAGTGTTGCACACAGTGCTGCAGTTTCAGAGCAGCCTGTCTGAGAAGAGACAGCTACAAATCAACACTATATCAACTATATCTACAATATCTCCAACATCAATATAAATATGCACTGTGTTAGTTATAGTGTATTTGTGTTGGCACTAGTTTCTTCAGGCATCATTAGTAAGTGTAGGGCAAACACTGAGTCATACTTGGAGATGTTTTTGCAGTAGAGCATGCTGATGAACCACAGCTGCGGACAGCTGCACAGTAGAAAGGAAGGTGTGCGGTCAGTCAGGAGAGGACAGCCACTCACGTCTAGCTCCTTCGGGAAGTGACCAACTCTTGTCAGGTACTTCACTGCTGTATCTGTCATCTGGAGAAACAGAATATAGTGTCAGTTAAGATATTTACCCTGTTTGAATACCATGCTCCAATGATCTGAGACCACTTTTTTTATCGAATTGAATGCATTTTTTATTACAAATTATATTTCCATATGCCAATTAGACAGCATGATTATTGCACAGGTGTGCCTTAGGCTGGCCACAATAAAAGGCCACTCTAAAATGTGCAGGTTTATCACACAGCACAATGCCACAGATGTCGCAAGTTTTGAGGGAGCGTGCAATTGGCATGCTGACTGCAGGAATGTCCACCAGAGCTGTTGCCCGTGAAATGAATGTTAATTTCTCTACCATAAGCCATCTCCAAAGGCGTGTCAGAGAATTTGGCAGTACATCCAACCGGCCTCACAACCGCAGACCACATGTAACCACACCAGCACTGTTATAGAAAACAATTATTTTCTTCAAATGTGAAATGTATTTTCTTGGATTCAAATATATGGAGGGCAAAATATATTTTAAATGCTTTAAAAATATTTATATGTTTTTAAAATATAATTTCAAAAATATACTGTAGAGAATATATACAAAATACAAAAAATATAAAAAAATATATTTGAAAATATTTTGCCATATGGATTATCAGCATAAAAATTTGAGTGAAATGTTGATTTTCTTATTTTTTGTTTGTTTTTCTAAATCTGTTTCCTATTTTTATAATTATTTATTTTATTTTATTAGTATATTTTATATACAGTGTGTTTATATATACTGTGCCATATATCATATTTTTCCCCCATTTTTTGTTCTCCCACCCCACAGGGAAAAAAAGTTCTCAGAGGGACTGCATTTGCATTTTTCTATATATTCATGTTGATCTTCTCTTACTTGATACAGCCTGAGATATTTAAGTTGCACAGTTTTGTCAGACTTCCTAAAGACTTCAAGCTGGCATCAGTCAAGCGAGTGCAGTCAGACATTTGGACCTCACTGAGTTTCAGAGAGCTTCGGCATAAGGCCTTCAAGCTGCTGTCCATCATTCGGTTATTACCTGAAATGCAGAATGCACAGTTTCTGTTTTAATAATTTAGCCTTTCTAGCCATGCCACATTATTTGAGCACATAAATACAAAACTTCTATTTGGATCTTGGTGAGGCTGATCACTTCAGCCATCGCTTTGAAAGCCACATCAGAGAGATACGGTGAGTCCAATAGGAAAATCGCAGTCAACACACGACATTTAGACATTAAGACCTTGCAGCAAAGAAAAACAACAATCACCAATCAACTAACTATAGAAATTTAGTTTAAACTTAGTGTCTAATAGATGTTAATGTACATAATACATATATTAATAACATGTACCTGCACACAGGTGTCAGTCATGGTGGGTAGATCGTCTAACACAATCTGTTGAAGTGAGCTGCAAGCTTCAGCGACATATGTAAATCCATCCACAGATATCTGTACAGTAGAAAATAAAAACTGTAATGTCACATTTACAGTATATAATGCAGTTCATTTTAGCAATCCTTAATCTGAGCACCAAAAAGTACCTGGTACAGTAGCTACTAAAATTTTGTGGCTATAGAAGTACTATTTTATTATATATTAATATATTCACCTACACATTAGATAAAATATTAGCTAATATTATTAGTTTTCGTATCCTATACATGCCAACACCTGAGAACATCCAGAGAGGTCCAGATAAGTGAGTCTGTGGCAGCCTTTTCCTGTGCTCCGATACTGCAGGCCTTTATCAGAGAAACTTGTGCAGTATGTGAGACTCCGAGACCGCAGCGTCAGACAGCAACTTTAAAACAACAATCAATGCCAAAAGCATCATAAAAATATAATATGGTTGTGTACAGTATGAAGAACTGAAAAACATAAAAAGTTTGTACCTTGACAGGACTCTTATAGTGGCATTAGTAATATGAGTGAAGGCCAGATTAAGTTGGAGGAGAGAGCTACATCCCTCTAAAATCATCTTCATATTTACAGTGTGTTTACAAACAAAACAGGTATTAAGAATTTTTTTTTTTTTAAAGCAGTAAAACCTAAACACAGTGTGTTTTTATTCTACTTGCATTAAGATGTGAGCATTCACTGAGATCGAGTTCTTGAAGATTTCTGCATTGACCTTTAACAAAAAAAACACAAGCAAGATTCTTATCATGTTTTTGATTACATCAAAAATTTATGAAATTTTAAAGCAGCACTATGTAACTTTTTCTGTTCAAAATTTGCAAAATGTATATAATGAGCGAGTACATCATGAATTCATCTTTCAAACTGCGTTTTTGTCTTATTCCGAATCACTACTACCACACCAAAACAGTTGGGTGGTTGCCATTGACTTCCATAGTAGGAAAAAAAAAAATACTATGGAAGTCAATGGCAACCACCAACTGTTTGATTACCAGCAATCTTCAAAATATCTTCTTTTGTGTTCAACATAAGAAAGCAACTCATACAGGTTTGGAACGACATGAGGGTGAGTAAATGATGACAGAATTTTCATTTTTGGGTGAACTATCCCTTTAAGAGAGTTTTACCAGGCTGTCTTCTGGGTTTCCAAATATATCATACACAATGCCTCCTGCCAGTGAGGAGATTTGTTTGTCTTCGTCAATAAATGTGTGCCTGAATTCAGAAACGGTTTACATCTTAGAGATGGTATGTATTAAAACCATTTTACTGCTTGATTTTACATTAGAGAGCCATACATGTCAAACATTAAACAGAAGCACACATACCAGCAGTTCTCAAAATCATGATCCTCAAGAATAGATAGGATCTTCTCCTCTATAAAGTGCAAAGGATCTTCAGGGCATGAGATGCATAACCCAGCAAGTAAAGCCTGGTTGAAATGCTAAATAAATAAATAAATAATCTTTAAAATGTAGCATTAAGTCATCTAAATTTAAAAATCCTCTAAATGAATAGCATTTATTTTACAAAATATTTAACAACATTTACAATATTTTATTAACAATATGTAGCCTAACTCTGCGTGCAGTTACATAATTCCTTAAATGGATTATTCATGAGGTAATTAGATCATTAGATAGCATGTTATGTAATTCACCTTGTAAATCTGAGGAAGTGAATGTCTCGTATAATTGGATCTGAATCTTGCAAAGAAGTCATCATAAAAACGATGACTCCAGGTGAAGTGCTAGATTAATGATTTCCTGGAGTCAATGCAACAAAAATATGATACACCTGCAGCTTCTGTCAATATTTACACATCATGTCGCTTGGTAACCTAAGCATGTGGTTGGTCAGGAGAAATCACAGGAGGAATTAATAGCAAAAATACAAAGTTCATATAAAAAAACACTGTAAGTAGCTATAGACTGCGTGTATGGATAGATAGAAGGATGGATGGATTTTAAATAAACAAATAATATTTGTAAATCACATGTTTATTTTTATTTATTTAATAATGATAGAAAAGTAATTTGTTCAAAAACACAAAATCGTTAATGAACGCTCAACGCAGCAAGCAACACTTAACTCCGCGAAATGTTTTGGTCGTCCACTGATGCAATAGGCGGCAACGTGCAGAGCAGAGGAAACAGTCAGTGACGGTTATGATAATCAAGAACTGTTTGTATCTGTATTTATCCTGCCGGACACGGACCATGTGTTAACATGTATCTATGAAATCTGCGCCTATCGCAGAATGGGAGATGACAATGTCGTAGCCCGCCTCGGCAGCATGAAGGCTCTGCTGGGGATTGTAGCAGGAGCCGGAGCCTCATATGGCATTTATAAACTAGTCTTTGGTCGCGCAGGAGATGCAGGAGTAAACAGAAAAAAGTCTGCTAAAAGTGTGACTATTCAGCCTGGAAGCTTGATGGCCAAAGTGTCTGGATTTAAAGTTGTCAGTAAGAGTGATAATCTGGATCCTACTGCGGATACTGAATCTAGTAAGTGACATTCAAATGGTTGGATGTGTTATATAAAGTCTTGCTTACTGACAGCTCTGTATAAGTTTGAAGGGGTTGGTTTTCAATCATATACATTACAGTGAGTAAATATAGGCAGTGTGTCAACTTCATTTTATTGTCCTAGGTTCTTGATTTAGAAACGGAAGTAGTTGTCTCCTTCATACAAACCTTTCTTTGTGTTTTTGTCTTCTCATAAGGTGTTATTTTCTCAAAATCTGCTGCCAGCCTGGAGCCTCGACATCTAAGTATGCTTCTCTCCCTTCTGAAGAGCAGCCCAAACCCAGAAGAGAGGAAGAAAGTTCTCGTAACTTTAGGAAATGCTGCTGCCTTCACAGTAAACCAGGTCATCTGATGTTCTGTCTTCTAGACATTATGTATTAGACATACTTTTTGGACTTGCAGAAGAGTAAACGGATGCAGATGATGCATCATATTTCAAATAATTTTTTGCTTTTCTTCATTAGGATCTTCTGCGAGAATTTGGAGGTCTTCACATCATAGCAGGCTTCCTCTCAGACCCTTCACCTGAGATTCGCGCTCAGACTCTAAACGCTCTGATCAACTTAAGCATGAATATCCGCAATCAAGAGCAGCTGAAGGTATTGCGTTATTTATTAAGATGGTAAAAATTAAGCATAAAAACTTTGAATGAAAATTTGAAATGTTGCCTTGGCGATTAACTGAAATCAATGAGTATAAGTTAAATTACTAAAGCTGAAATTAAAATGAAACTATAGAAATAAAACAAAAATGACAAAAGCACATAACAAAATGACTGAAACAAACTAAAATTAAAAATATAAAAAATGCTAATTCAAAATATTAATAAATACTATAATAATATATAAATAATACTAAAAGAACACCATTTTGAATATGTTTTTCTTTCGCTCTCCCATGGATACTATGCTTACACTGTGGTTTCTGTTGTTGTTGGTCAGATATATGTCCCGTCGGTGATGCAGATGATTGAGATGTCACCGGTGAACTCTGACCTTCAGCTGGCAGCGCTCAGATTGCTCACTAATCTGTCAGTCACGGATAATCACCAGCGTCTGATGAAGAATTCCATCACCCTCCTCCTGTCACTGCTCGTAGTGAGCAATGAAGTCCTACAGGTGATTTTTGAGTAATGTATTAAATGATATGTTTACACAATCAGATGTATTGAAGATTTAATCTGTTCCTGCAGATCCAAGTCCTGAAGGTCCTAGTAAATCTGTCCTCCAATCCAAATCTGATGGACGATATTGTGCAAGCTCAGGTGAACAAGCATGTCTTTTATGGGTTCTGCTGTAATGCTTTCACTGTTTTGTAAGTGAGATCCAGTGCAGTTGGTTTCAGTGACTATTCTGTCATACCAACACAATATGATTATAAATAGATCAATCTATAAATAATCGCCTTGGTTGCTAGGTGTCCTAGTTTTTCTCATTGCCAGCTGTTGATGCTTGTGTCTATTTTTAGGCCACTCTGTGGTCATCATGATTTAGTTTAGTGCTGCACGATTTGAGGAAAGAATATTATTGTGATTTTTCTTCAGATAAAAATTGCAGTTGCAATTTAAAATAGGATTATTTAAAAAAGGGGTGCTGTGTTTGTTTGTAGGGCTTAACAATTTGAATGAATGTCCAGATTTGAATGAATTTGCATATCAACATGAAAATTAAATAAATTCACATTATGATTATCAATATTATTATATTCTCCTACATACTAATTTGCTTTATTTCACAGTAAAATATTGTAATGGTAATGTTTCTTATTTTGTCTATTATTTTATTTAATAAAGTAATATTTATTATTAATAATATTTATTTTGTGTCTTATTTTATTTAATAATAATTATGTCAACATTAAAATAAAGTAAAATAAAATTATTATTATTATTATTAATATGATTTTAAGATTTTAATTAAGTCATATATTGTATTATTATTGTAATAATAATAATATATTGAAATATATTGTAATATTTCACTGTGAAATCAAAATTAGTGTTTAGGAAAAAATAATTATTTTATTTTATTTTATTCTGATACACAATTTTTATATGCTGATATAAAATGTCTTGACCAAGTTGTGACGCCTTACAAATTATGGCCATCTTAATTTTATTTATTTTGGTGGTAAACTGCAGCTAGCGCTCTCAAAAACTGATAGATATATATATATATATTTATTTAAATCACAATCTTTGTGATTTGATAATCACACTAAGCCATGTTGCGATTCTGGTTATATTTTGATTCATCACGCAGCCATAATTTAGTTCTTCTCTTAGTTTTAAGAGCTGTTATATATTGGCACAAGCTCCTCCATTTACTTGTAAATCTGTTCACAGGCTCCAGCGTCCCTGATTTTGTTGTTTGACGGCTGCACAAGCACGTCTGTTCTTCTCCGCCTGTTGTTTTTTGTGGGGAATCTGCGTGCGTGGAGACCCTCTTCACAGGTGGCTGAAGCTCTGAGGAGGAGGCAGGACTCTCTGTACTGTGTTCTACTGGACAGCTCCTCTCAGCTGCACCGTAAACTGCCCCTGCTGCTGTCCCATCCAGATGAGGAGGTGAAGTCACAGGTGGCCAGACTCTTCACATAACCTCTTACAGAACATTTTTTACCAAATAAACCCGTTCTTCAATGTGTAGAAGCTTGTTTACCTACTTAAACATTAGAGCTCTGCACTAACAACCTGCTGTAGCTTTAAATCCTTGCTGGAACAGTGTTGATATCTACTGGTAGCAGGTTGTCCACTTGGTAGGTCATTGGTATCCTCTCAAAAAAAATGGAAAATGGACAAGAAATGACTCCCTCGGGCATTTTGTGCGATTTTTGTTCATATAATAGACATTTGTGAACACCACAGACCTCGTTTGAGAACCTTTGAGAACATCTTCACTGCCAAATATTTTCTTGCCAAGTGAGTGCAGATATTTTTCTGACCACACTAAGTGCTTTGGATATCCAGACTAGTGGTGGAAAGGACTCTTGTAACATCTCAGCATGTGTTTAGAAATCTTAATGCCTTGAAAAATAAGTGTTACTTCAGTGCTGCATAATGCAAGTGAAGTTTACTACTAAAAAAGTTATTCAGGTTATGCTGATGTAGTAATGACCCAGGAACCTTATTTTTACAGAATGTGTGCGTTGATTGTACTTTGACTGTTTTCTGATGCTTGATGATATCGACATGGCCAGTGATGCATTATTTAAGAAATGCAATTATAAAACAGTGGTTAATATTTGCTATGATTTCATTTTGGAATGCTTTCTGGCTTTTATGTCAGGTTTGTGGAAGTTCTTTAAAAATAAATATAAAAATTTTAATAACCTTTGTTTATTGAATTTGTGTCGTGAGGACTCTTAAAATTTGTTTTGAATGAAAACGTTCAGACAGTGAGTTTACCTTAGCGATTCGCACGGGGTTGCCATGTAAAAAAAGGATGACGCATTCTGAAAATCGCCAGAAACAGGAGTGCCTTATTTTACCTTTTTTAGTGGGGACACATATTTCACATATTTAGTGCGATCTGGCAACACGGTGGCTCGGCGTAAATGCGCTTGAGTCACATGAGGCTGATTACCGAAGAACTGTCTGTCATTCGAGACTGAACTGGAATGACAGAAGAGAATGTGCTGAAATGACAACGAATGTAGAGCCGCGAAGAAGAAAACTCGACTTAGACGAGCAAGGTAAACAATAATACAAAGTAAGGCCATTGTATGAAAACTAAAGGACTAAAAAGAATTAGTGGTAAACCGATATATCGGCCGATATTTGGCATTTTTCAAATATCGGCCTCAGCCATTTTTCTGTTTGGC